CTTACAAAATGCTTCAAAAAGTGCAAACCTCTTTCTAACCTGGTTATATGGTTGGGACATTTAAGATTTCGGTCGTTTGCTTTGGAACCCGACTATAAATTCCTATTGCATTGGCATACCGCAAAGGGGTGGAAAGCGTGTTATTTTTGGGACCTACCCTTTCTAACCTTTATTCCCTTAGGGTAGGCAACATTAGCATGGCACTCCTGGTCATTCAACGGAAACACCCTACTGCTGTCACACCCCTGTCCAGTCAGCACTGTGACTTTACCCTTAGATCCCATTATATCGTAGCAATTTACACGATAATTCTACCTGCCTTTTATCTAATTACCATCCAGTGGACCTTTCTAGTATGGTAAAGCCTCCAAGTAACTAGCTTTCCAGCGGCATAGCTTGTTAGGTCATTGTGATATACAAACCCGTCCATCACGTCAAAGTAAGGTCAAATCCTACGTTAATATTGACTGACTGAAATTCTGGGCTGACATTTTTTGTAAGAATAATTATCGAAACCATAATGAAGTCCTTAAATTCTCAGTCTTCATAGGAGGATGCCTTTTGGTTTCGAATGATGTTATCTCCACAGGTGTTTATTACCTTCTATCTGGATGGCAGCTTTTTGTCTTTATCTTAAAAAGTAAATTGTTTTCGAATTAATTGTTTATTTTTTTTCATCTTGCAACTTTTAATGTAAGAATAAGCAACAGAATATCACGTGAAGTCAGAAGCCTATTCATCATTAGGAAGTAAATAGTGTCGAGAAACGACAAAATATTTTTGTGAAACATGTGGTGAATTAATGTCAAATATGAAAAGCAATTTAATCACATGAATATTTCCATATTATTCATGTTTATTTATTAATAATCAGGTAAATTTATAAGAAATATAAAAATACAATGGGAACATCAAAAATTCTCATTATACACTTGACATTTTAGTTTTGAAATCAAACATATTGTTACAGTATTCTGGGAATGTGAAAAGAAAAGTCATTCATTATTCCCCGCGAAACAATACATATATTTCCAACTAAAGTTATCTTCAAATTTCTTCTACTTTACTTCGGTTTATCCTCTTTTCTATTTCTGTATAATGTGGTCCAATATGTGATTAAAGGCAATTGAAAGAGAAGTTCAGATAGTCAATTCACTGAGGGTGTGTTCGTTGTTTTATGAAGCCTCAATTGATTCACTGTGAGAACCATTCTCAAATTAGATAGATCGTTAACAGTTTGTCTAAATGCATCGTTGTAGTTATCATACTGTTGTTAGTAGATTCCTTTAACAACTTTGAGTATCATGTAGATTTCATCTGAACTACTACAGTTCTTGAGATGAATATTTCATAACTAATTTCATGGTTAACTGCTTATCGGAGCATATAAAAGTGGTCGATTTTTACTATCCAAATCATTTCAATTAGTAAGTTTTACTTGGATATTAGAATGACTGTATATGAAAACCTTCTATATATTGTCGACCATTCAGTATATATTCATTGTGTTGTTGGGTGTGCTATGATACAGTTATTTAATATTCTAAATAAAAAAGTCGATGCAACAAGACTCACAACATCTAAGATATAAATATATACAAATGAAAAAAGTCTCGCTGTATCATCAGTTGACAGAAATAGGAGAATGTTGTGGGTCTACTGGACTCCAATTTAATGACCGAATTATAATATGCTAGCTATTAGACATGGTGGGTTCGTTGGTGCGTGCTGCTGAGTTCTTCATTTGGCCACAACGGGTATCTACTCCTTAATGGTTCTCCAACTAATGTCAGTGGGTGATGAATACTACTTTGGAAATTTTTAAGGTTGTAATAATATCAACGCTATTCCCTAAGGTTCAGTGTAAAGAATATGACAAAGTCAATCATATATCATGTTGTTCTCAATTTTATTCATACAAAATACGGAGAAATCAAAAATTAGATTAATATGTTTTTGTAACATCTGTTACATGCTAAACTTATTTGTTTTTTGGTTACATATTTTGAGTTTTTCTTTTCTTAGGTGCAGTATTTGAAGAAATAGGAAATTAACTGTAAACAGCATATGTTATTAGCATCCTCAGTTAACAGGCACATACAGCCATAGTTTCTATATTACAGAAATAAAACTAAAAACACCCATACAATAGTTACAATTACAACAGCACTAATAATCTCCTGCCGAGTTATTATCACTACTTCAACAGCTAGGAATAAATTTATACGCCTTAAGAAAACAATTAAAATTCTTTGCAACTATTTCTCTACATTGAATAAATCATTTAATCATTTTTTATATTGATATCTGTTTTAAAAATGATGAATTTAGCAATACTACATTAGCATGGATTATGCCTAAGAGTTGTGGCTCATTGACTTAGTCAGTTGACCATCAGCCAGTGGGTCACGAGTTTGATCAGTGCTCCACCTATCGAGGTTTGTATCAGCCAGTTACTATTATTGACCCTCATACAATAGATGTGGCTCATCGCCTAATGCATGAACGCATACACGACGTTTCTGAGCGCGATCCTTTCGTTCTTTCATAAGATGCTCATCTGATTTGCCGTCTTTTTCAGTAAATGAATGACCAAATAAATATTATCTTTATTAATAGTTAGCAGACCTTTCACGGCCAGAAAGTATAAGTAACAAGGAACTCTGGGAACGAAGTAACCAAGATCCTATGGCCCAACAAATATGCAGAAGAAAGTGGAGATGGATTGGGCATACACTGAGAAGGCCAACTGGGGACATCACGTGCCAGGCCAGACCAGGCCAGGCCATCGAGTACAATCCAAATGAGAAACGACGAGTTGGTTGTCCCAGCTGAGTGTGACATGGAGGAGATGGTATGAGGAAGAAATGGGAGCTTGTGGGCAGTCGTGGTGTCAGGTTGAAAAGACTGCAGAGAAGAGAGTGTAATGGAGGCGTGTTACTGGAGCCCTATGTTCCACTAGGAACCCAAGAGAAAAATAACATAATTAATAATAATAATAATACTAGTAATAACAATAAGCCTTTTACATTTAATACCGCCTTTTTCACCAATGCTACTATATGGTCATATTAAACAGCTTGCTTATGTGGTATGAAAAGGCTGTGTCTAAGTGATTGATATCTCTTGATCAAGTTTGTTGAAATGATGTCTTCCAACAAAATTGTCTGAGTTGTTTTTGTTTTAATGAATTGTTGTAAGTGGACTGTGATACGATTGTCTGAACATTTTTATCTTATGGAAATGAAACGAATCTTTTGAATTGATCCACAAAATCTCCTTCTTCAAGATGAGTTGTTTTAAAGCAATTGTTTTGATTTTTCACCATATCAAGGTGGTATTCACCATGGATTGACATCAGTTGAAGAAACATTGGAAACCTTGGTTCACTGGATAGCTGTTTTTGCGTAGTATAGGGCTTCTTGGCAGTACTCAGTCGTGATCTCACCAGAAATCGAGCCCGGCAGCTTTAGGCTCTACAGTGATATTACCATTAAGACACTCAGTCAAAATCCAGTGGTTTATAGTTTCCTACTTCTGTCAATTCACGATATGATGTGACTATCATCCGATGCTATCGGCAAGTATTTGTTCTCTAACTGAATTTAGTTCTTGCTGAATACCACTTTGAAATTAATAAATCATCGCAAACCTCCATATTGAATTTTCATATTTTGCCTCGTTTTGACGAACTGATTTTTTGTTATTATTAACGCTTTTACATAATCTCGCCTAAAATCGTCATGATGATTTCTAATTTGTGGATAGATGAAATCGTTATTAAATATTATAAAAATTTGTGAATGTATTCACCTTGTAAAACAGTCCTTTTTGTTGTTCTTTTGATAATTATTAAGTTGAAAGTTTTCTGATGTGTTCCATTGTTTTGAGATTTTTTTTTCACTCAATTTAATGGTTTGTGAGGATTTATTCATTATATTAATTGGTCACGGGAGTGCAACCAATTTCATGTTATCTAGTCCTGAGTACAGACCGAATCCTATCGATCATATTTGCAATGTGGCAACCAAGCTAGGAAGCTCAGCATCGCGGTGTACATTGGTAAATCTTAGTTGGTTGAAGGCAATCAGCAGAAAGCCCTGGACCTAGGTTTCGTGCTTTTTGGCACTCATCAGCAAGGCGTATCTGCAACCTCGACGGAACTGATGTCCCACCTGAGATTCGAACCCGCGTCACCCAATGTTGTAGTCAGCGACTTTACCACTAATCTATTCGGGCCGCGATTGATTTTAGGTTCGTATTCATCATGGACTAAGACCAGCTGGAGGAACATTGGAAACGGGAGAGTATTGGACAGCTATTTCGTCCTAGTATGGAACTCCTCAGCAATCTGCACCTATAGTCCATACTTCCTACTTCTATCAGTCCATGATGTAGCGCCTCCTTCACCCAATACCGTTGTTGATTAACTGCCTTCATGTTCGACTTAGTTGGCCCCACCGGCAGAATATGAGGACAGTTACTCAATGATGGCATAGGATGGGGTTCGGGTTACCATCGTATAGTGACAGAATTAGTAAATATGGACTATGGGTGCGCACTGCCGAGGAGTCCCATACTGGAGCAAAACAGTTGTCCAGTACTCTCAGGTTTCTAATGTTTCTCCAATTGATGTCAGTTCATGATGAATATAAATCTGAAATTTTTTCCTCCTGAAATATTGATCTACTAAAGTGCGCGTTTAAAGAACATTTTGAATTATCAATGAAAAGTTTCTTTGTAAAATCTAAATAAGGTTTTTAAATATATTTCATTAATAATTCATTTTCCTAATGCTTAACTTATTCAACTATGTCAGGTCAAATTTTGCTCCCAAAGTTTAAAAAAATATCTTCTAATTGTTAATCAGGTTTTAAGCACGTTAATGAGACAAAAATTTTCATATTTATACATTTTTCTTTCTATATTTTATGTATAATTTTAATATATATAAAATAACTACTGATACACTTCCGTTTTCTTTATTCTTCTATGTACAGTTATATTCCTGATTTAGATAAGCTCCCCATCTACATAACTAAATTGGTGACGCAAGTCAGTTGGTCAGTTGAATCCGTTTGTTTTGAAAATATTTGTCGCATTACAGCTGAATATTATTCAATATCGCCTAGTTTATTTGCTAAATACTCTTCACAAAACGAAAATTCTTCAACATCGTTAACAACTGATGAATCAGATAAAGAAAACTCCACATCACCACTATCATCTCGTGAATGGATGATACAACATATACTTTGGCCAGTATTATGTTCATCATTCCTTCCTAGTCGTAGGTATCCTGACTTTGATTCAAAGAAATACGAAGCAGATGGGAAGATGTTTTCACTGCAGTCTGCCTTCATTCGACTTACATCACTTGCAGATTTGTATAAAGTATTTGAACGTTGTTGAGTCATTATTTTCAATAGATACCTTTGTATTGTCTTTTGAAGATTCTGTTGATAAGCATAATTTCTTCTTTTGATCGGAAAAAAATGTCTTTTTTGTTTGCTTTCAAAAGAGACTATGTAATCAGCATTGCCGTGGTTGTACTGTACTTTATGGATAAGTGGGTTAATTAGAATGCGGACTAATCGGTCTTCGGTTGTAAACCAATCTACCTATTTAGTTCATGGTGCTGACGGTAATCGCTTTATCAACTTAGAGTGCAACCTCATGCATTTTTCAAACCGTATATGTTGACTTGCAATAGTATCCTAGATAGATCTTGTCTGATTGAACGCAAACGATGTCATTATTACTGGAAAAGATGAGCTTTAGGGTCACATCAGAACTGAAGTTCCAAGCACAATTAAATCGATAGATCTGTCTTTTTATATATTTGTAGTTTGATGGTTAAATTTTCTGACTGGCGAAATGATCTTGCGGTTCGAAATCGTAATAGAGTAATCAAATTGGTGTTATCCCTAACGAAACTGATTCGTTATGAAGAGGACACTTTTGTAGCTCTTAAAGTAAACAAAGTGAAGATGCTGTATGATTAACAGTGTCTTTATAGCCAACTTTTTATATACAAAATAAAGAGGTAAGCACTTGAGAATTTTCAGTGCTATTGTGTACAGTTTTGTTGACTTTCAACTTCATGTCCACAGTGAATAAGTCACTTTTTACTATGATAGCAACCGGATCTCATAAAAGACAGTAAGATGAATTGTGTGAGAACTCTGTTCATAAGAGTGAAAACTGAGAATAACGTTGAAGAAATGGGAAATACAGGATAACAATAGTTGTTTAAAATATGAATGGACTGTACTTACAGCATCAGGGGTATCTTCAAAGTAACTGTAGGACTGTTCAGACCAACTGGGCCAAGCATATCCTTCAAGGCCTCAAAGTTACGGTAGGGGAATTTTAGAAATCAAATGTCGAAATATGTGAAGTGAATATTGTTTCTTGGGATCAAATACATCAGCTGTAACTATTATTTAGTTGAACAATCGGGACTCTCAGTAAAATAATGTATCGACATACAGATCAAAGTGAGGGACCACATGGCAGTTTTTGATGCGACAAGGGTTTTATTGTGGTGACCATCGGGAAAGCTGCATAATTGTGACTTATATGAGTTCTCAATATTCAGGAAGAATCCTTATAGGCATGATATTCCAGTATGATAGACCATAGATACTCAGTGGTTTAAATATAATATTTGACAAAAAGCGTACGTTTGTTTATTTTTGTGCAATGCCATCAAATAATCCAATTTATCAAGGTATCCAGCTAAGATCTCATCATCCACTATAGTAAGCTAGCGTTATCCAGTAAGTGAAAAAGATGGAGCAAGTTTGTTTTTAATGAAAAGATGTTCAAGAAGAGAATTTATTCATTGGTTTCACTTGTATTGATATTCAACCATGGTTCTAACTTTTTTATTTCTGCTGCCTAATAGGTTCATACATAGAAGCTGTAATTCGTTTATAAATCAGTAAAGCAGCCAACCATTACACTTTTCCAAAATTTCTTGATATGACAAGGTCATAGCCGATTATCTGCACATATTCAAGTTACACAGTCACAAATCGTAGAATTACGTTGGTATTTATTAACAGGTAAGGCAAGCAACTAAAGCACATTTTTGCAGGATTCGCACAATAGACACTATAAGTATTTTGGCTAACAAAGGTTCTTGAAATGTTTTACGTCGCTCAACTGAACTTGTTTACTGTTTAGAAATGATCTGGATACCGAATAGTTATTTTTTTTTTCCGAGCTCATCATTTTTGATCTTAGGTTCATTTAAATGGATCTGTAAAACCATCCAGTTATGGCTAATGACTTGTGTGAAGTGATCATAGCCAAAATCAGTTTGAATACTTTTAACCTGGACAAAAATTCTATTTGAGTCTCATATCTAAGTTGCTGCAAGCTTCTTCATTTATCTTTTCAACCTGGAACTTTATTAATGAACATCAGTTTCACATCTTTCACGTTAACTTTACATAAAAAGTTGCTGTTTTAACTGTTGCCTAGGATGCCTAGCAATGCTGGAAGTTATTATTATTATTTTTCCCTTGGGTTCCTAGTGGAACATAGGGCTCCAGTAACACGCCTCCATTACACTCTCTTCTCTGCAGTCTTTTCAACCTGACACCACGACTGCCCACAAGCTCCCATTTCTTCCTCATACCATCTCCTCCATGTCACACTCAGCTGGGACAACCAACTCGTCGTTTCTCATTTGGATTGTACTCGATGGCCTGGCCTAGTCTGGCCTGGCACGTGATGTCCCCAGTTGGCCTTCTCAGTGTATGCCCAATCCATCTCCACTTTCTTCTGCATATTTGTTGGGTGATAGGTTCTTGGTTAGAGCAATAGTATATCATCAAATTTACTTAGGGATAAAGTTTGTCAGTTGATAGTTCGTACTGAGATCATTAGATAAATTAATTCCTTGTACCAAATTCTATCTATTAGTTTAAGGCCAAGTGCGTAGGTCACAGTAGTCTATCAAGGTTATTTGTGTTATCTGGACAAAACAAAAAGCTGCATGTAGAGTGCTAGAACCTCATCGGTATAACTATTCTGAAAAAACACAATCATTCCAATTTATGAAATAATACACTTGTGCTACAGAATGAGAATTAGTGGTAATCGTAAAGACTGATTTTTTGAGCTTTTAAACTGAGGACTCAAGTATGCTCAATTATATTATTCTGTAGTTGAGATTATATTATAAGTAGAGAATAATCAAATATCGTTAGTATGTGGAAAAGAGATCAAACACACATGAGTAGTAGTGGTAATTTGATAATCCTCTGCATCATTTGATGTAGCACAATGATGTACAGTGTTATCTACTTTATGTCGTTCCCGACATATTTTGTTAAAGTTATAACAGCTTTTGGGATATATTTCTCTTAAAAGGGAAAAAGAATGAGTAGAACTAATATCAAAGTACACTATTGTATAAAATTTAAATTCTTTTTGGAAGACTAGAATAAATCGGACAAACCTGAAGATATGTTATTACAGGTTTGTTAGACCGGTGATGAAACTGATTATCATTTTAACTATCTGACATAACCCTAATTTGGCACACTAACGTTTATACTGAGTAATGACTGAAGGTGAAATGAAGATTTTGACTGCGGCCGAATTCGAACCAGGGACCACTGGGTTACCCGCTTAGTGTTCTATCGTATGAGCTAGGATTTTCTTCCCCTTCAATCATCTTGGGTTTCACCCGAATACCATGTGAGTTAGTGCCGCATCAATATGTTAGTTATCTCGTAACTAAGTTGTTAGAGCATCCGCCGGAGACTCAATCGTCTCTGGTTCTATACTGTCGAGGTCCAAATTTTCATTTCATCTTCAATCATCACCCAGTATCAAAACTAATTGTGTCATTTTTAAATTAGTAGAAGTCTGTAACATGACAGAGGTATATGTTTGCAACACTTACACACACACAAAGTTGGGTAGAGTGGACTATTACATGTAATTTCATCTACAAAATTAGTTGAATGAAAATGGTGATATCACACTTGATATTTACATCACCTATTCATGTGTGGTTTCCAGTATAAAATGGTGCATTTAATCTTAAATACTGATGGTATTGGGAAAGAATCTCATACTCTCGAGTTTTCGTTTTGTAAACGGCATGGTTAATACATTCTCTGTAGGAATGATTTTACCTTATAGTCTAACCAATCAAAACTAAGTATATAATGAAGTTCATCTTTTCTCAATGATTATTTTCAATTAGGAGTCATTTTAAACTTATTTTTTCTGTTTCTCTTTATAACGATTCATTTCGATATTATTGAAAATGAAAAGTGCTTTGAAAAAAGTTTTAACATCGGTTGCTATACACCACTACAGTTTTTTTCTCTATCGCTTGACATAAACTAAAAGCGATCAGCAGGTTGGATATTCTATTACCTCGGTTAGTTTCACCTAATCTTAAATAACTAATTAGTGATACTTTGAATATTTACCAGAGAAAGTTTGTAGAATACCCTCTCTTGGTTTGTTGTCTATGATGAACAATGAGCGTGGAGTTCAGATCTAAATTATGGCTATGAACATTCTTATGAAATTTAGCAATGTTTCGAAATTACTTAAGTCAATAAATGTACTGTATTTATAAAAGTAAGGACGAAAATCGGCACAACATTACACTTAAGTCGATTTAACAGTCATAGAAAGTGGCTTTGCTAAACATCCTAACATGGAGATTAACATCAGTATTAAAACAGTATACATTACGAACTGATATCAGGAGGGAACAATTTGAAAACGGAAAGTACTAGACTGTTTTTGCTTAATCTGATGGGTCTGTAAGCGTTTGCACAAACGACTTTGATTTCTGCGCAGCCAACTCAATGCATTATATCTACCAATTGCATTACTATACAAAGCTGAATGACTGGTTTTTAACTTTTACTGTGTCGTAGTAAGGGAATCCTCAGCAGTACAGAAGCATGAACCAAACAAGAACTGGACTCGGGACCTTCAGATTTCACGGTGAACGCGCAAACCATCCAAACATTGAGTAGCAGTTTAATGCTCTACAGTTTTCTGCTTCTGGTAATTCAATCTCTGGAAGGGTCGTGAATGCCTACTATTGAGGAGTCTCATACCAGTATGAAACAGCTACCCAGTGCAGTCAGGTTTCCAATGGTTCTCAAACTTATGTCAGTTTGTAATGAATACAGTCCTAAAAATAAAATCTCCGCAAAATTCAAAATGTACTGTTGTATATTCGTTATTGAAGAGACATTTTACGCCTTTGTTAGTGAAATATTTTCCTCCTCAATAAAAGGGAAAGATAAGGAGATACGATTTTTGTTCATACGAATATTTATGATGTGTGCACATAAACCAAGTGATCGATTCATATATAAGCGGAAACCAAGGCTAAATAATAAAGGTACCTATTTAGTTCCATGTAGAATTGTGAACCCAACGGTGTGTAAAATGTTAACTTACACAATGCAAACTTTTCTGCGGTTGCCAATATTGAATAAGAGTCAAGTTATAAATAAAGAAACTAAGCATAATAAAAGAGCTT